AGGACAACATGGCTTTAAGAACTGGTGTATCGCATTAGCGAAAGGTGCCAAGAAAGGCACAAAGGGACAAAGCCCTCAGGCAGATGCAGAAGCAAAGATTGTCCTGACAGAAAGAAGCAAAAAGTCAAAAGAGAGTGAACTGAAAACAGATCCTGGGCAGGGACTGGGTAACAGGAGAGATGGAATGAGGAGTAGCAAAGGCAGCTGTGGAAAGGGAAGTTCAGTCAGACTGGGGATTGAGGGCACCCTGGGGCGTCCCTTCTCATATCCTCAAACACAAATAGGGGAGTTCTAGAAAGAGCAAGTACCTCCAGAATCTGGTTCTCTTGTCCAATGCTTAGTCTCCAACACCTAGAACAATGCCTGGTATATATGGGGTGCTGAAAACATAGTTGTTGTATGAGAAGTGATATATGCAGAAAAGAGAAGGCAGCAGAAACCACTGAGAAAGGATCTATGTCTCTTGGCGTCCATTATTAAAGTGTGAGCTGGCAAGGAAGACACCAGAGCCGGGAATCAACAGGATAAGCAAAGCATTAGAAGTAGCCTCTGCATTTTATTCTGCCGTCTCAGAAAAAATGATTTGAGATTCCAATTCCTGCTCACTAAATGCAGACAGGGGTTACTTACTTGCTTCACAAAAATGTCATAAGACTGTGATGGTCACTCACTTTGGCTTAAGGCAGAATAATTAAAGAATGATGGCGCTATATTATATTGCTATAATGGTAATTGCTTATCCCATATCTATTCACCATTTTTTTTCTATAAAACCAGAATTTTAATCAAGAATGTAATGTATTAACCAAGAGGCTACATTTCCCAGTGTCCCTTAAGTACAGGTCAATGAAAATTAACTCAACAGACCATGTGTCTTCTGGGAAAGATGCTTAAAAGTGACTTACTTAATAATTTTTGTGCTCCCCACCTTCCCTCTGGTTGGAGTTCTAGTGGTCACCTTGGTACATAAAATTAAAGAAAAGAAATCACATGCTCAGGATGGTGGAGTAGAAAGGAAGAAGAATCCCACTTCTCCACTGACCTGTTGCTGCTACCCTGGACCCCAAATCTTTCATATGTCAGAGAAATTAATTTCCATCTTGTTGAAATTAAACACCATTCCTAAGTGATGAACTCACCATCAACCTTATTAATGAGTAGTTCCCTTCTATGGTCCCCTCAACATTTGTAGGACCCAGGCTAGGAGGAGAGGTGGGGGGTCCCTAGTCTATGGCCTTCCCCTTTCTCTTCCTATCTCTGGCTCTGCTACTTTGTGTGGACATCCAAGCCCATGTGTCTAAGCTCACTCCAGACTAACACAGTTTGGCCACTCTTAAGACCTAGGGTTCACATACTTCCTACCAGGAGGACAGGGCTCAGGAAGAAGCTGGTGTAGGTTCTAGAAGTGGGCTCAGGGCCATTTGGGTAGGAAATTCTAGGGTCCCAGCATGCCAGGGAATGCTGTAGTTGGGGGACATTACAGATGGCCTTATGATCTCTTCACCCTGTGGGAAGAAGCATGGTCCTTGAAGCAAGGAATCTTCCTCCATCCTTATCTTTCTCATCTTTCAGGCCTTAGCTGTGAAGCTGGTTCTTTCCACAAGCCCTTTCTCATCCTTACCTGCATACAGTGTGGGTTAGTAGACCCCTTCCTGTGTTCCCAGGTACCCAGTACTGCCCTCATACAGCACTCTTGTCACCAGAGAATACTTGTTTATAAATTAATTTTTGGGTTCCCTACTATTTGGCAAATTCTGGAGGGCAAAAACCAACCTTTAAGGTTGTATGCTTGGCACAGATTCCTAGCAGGAGCTCAATAACATGTATCATATGGTGAGATGAGTGGATGGTTTCTCTTAGCTCTAGCCCTGTGATACTGGACTGATGAGAGATGTTCATCTTGGTTCTTCTGACTGCATTTAGAAATAGCCTTTGGACATATGCACTATAAGCACAAACCTAATGAATCAGATTATCACATTTTTCAAGGGAAAAAAATGGAAAATACTTCCATTTTTATGATCGGAGAAACCCAGGCTATTATACCCGGCTCAGTTCTCATTAATAAAATAGAAGACCTCATCTCATCTGAGCTCTTCAAATTAATCTAAGATCTGATTGTACCAAAGCATTACTAATTATATAGTCACACCATTTATATCATAGAATTGGAAATGACACACATACCCAGTCACAAAGTGATGGTTAAATAAGCTATGGCATTCAACTGGTGGACTCATGAGCTTCTGGCAATGGTGCCTAAATATAATCTGACATTAAAAGGCAAGACAAAAAATTACATGTGGAATATAACTGCCATTCATGCAAAATATGCAAATACATGCAAAAATATAGGAGATAGAAATATAGATAGAATATTATTAGTGGCTGTTTATGTATTAGGACTATAGATGATTTCCTGTCTATGTTTCTGATGTTTGTGGATTTTCTTTAATCTCTTTTAATATTTTACTCTCATGGGGAAAATCAAAATCAACAAACCGTTTAATTGTTAATTGAAAATTTTCTGCTATAAAATTTGGCTACTGATACTGGGTGTGTCTGCCTGAAGGTGCTGTATTGAGGCAAACAGAAGAGACCTTTTGGTGAAACAGCAGCAGGGGATGGAAACACATGGACTTCTCTGGACTGGCAACTGCCTGTGTAAAATGAAGAATCCCTGAGCTTCTCTAAGCTCTTACTGTGTGCCAGGCTTTTCAAGTATTTTTTTTTTTCATTGTGTCTTCCTAAGAACTAGTTACTATTACTCCATGTTAGAGCTGGAACTGAGCGTGATGAAACTTTGGCTAGGGTGTGGAGGAGCCATAGTCTGATGCTCAGCAGTGTCAGTCTGCCATTTTCTCACTATGGGAGGCTGAAGGGACCGTGAACACATTTCTTCGTGGTGCTTCCTTTTATGCAAGATCTCTGGTGTCAGACGAAGGCACAGCTTCCATTTCCATTTTTAGGCAATTTACTCGGATCAGTCCTTCAGTGACTCCTGCTTGTCAGTGGAAATGGTCTTTAGCAATCACTTGTTCCCTATATTATCTCGGGTTCTAACCATAGTGCAAATAATAAATTGTCCCTCTTTGCACATAAATCTATTCCTCTGGGGCAACAAGCCCATTTACAAATTTTCCATAGACCAATATGAATACAGGCTATGCCAGCTCCTAGCAAAATAGTGAACAGTGGTAGCTCTCTACTTACCAACACAACTGCAGAGGACTCCTGAACAATGTGGGGGTTAGGAGCGCTGACTCCCTGCACAGTCAAAAATTCTCCCATAGATCCTCCCTGGTGGCGCAAGGGGTTAAGTTTCAGCACTATGAAGCTATCAGCAGCTACTGCAACACCAGTTCAATCCCTGGCCAGGGAGCTATCCACATGGCACAGCAGACCTCTCCTGTCTTGCCCGCTGCTCCCCGCAGCAGTGTATTTCAGTCAGTCCACCTGTTCTGCTCCCCACTGTGTCTCTGGTGAATATTCTCACACATTAGGCCTACACCCCAGCTCTTGTATGCATAAATAAATAAAATAGATCTTAAAAAAAAGAAAAAAATCCTCCCATAACTGTTGACTCCACCAAAACTTAACTCCTAATAGCCTATGGTTGACCAGAAGCTTTACAGATATCATAAACAGCCAATTAATACAAACTGTGTATGTTATATTGTATTATAATGCCTCTTACAATAAAGTAAGCTAGAGAAAAGAATGTTATTGAGAAAATCATAAGGAAAAAAATACATTTTGGACTGTACTGTAAGATTTACATTGTCTGTTTACAAGAAGTCCATATATTACGTGGACCCACGCAGTCCGAACCCAAGTTTTTCAAGGGTCAGCTATTTGGACAATCTTTCTCCATTTGCTAGTTGAAAGTAGGGTCACTGGCCAATACACACAAACACTTGGATACTCAGTCTCATTTTCTCTGCACTGGTGTAACATTTCCAGGAATGGCGAGAGGGCAAACTTACTACAAGAGCGTTCAGGAGATCAGAGCAGGATACTTGGAGAAAGCCCAGTCTTAATGGAGTCAAATGTGCTAAAGTAAAGCAAATCGTCCCTTTTCCCCCCTGTTGGGAGCCTGCTGAGCTAAAGGGAGCTGGAGTTTTTGGAGAATACCTGTTTACTCTGCATATGGAGTTCCAGGACGATAGAAGTTCTGCAAACAGAACTTCTTCCCAGAATTGACTCCTGTTCTCTGAGGATGTGCTGGCTTCTGCGCATGTTCCCTACTAACCAGGAAAACTTGTTTTCAGCACTAACTTATTCATCTGTATAAGCAAAAACACAACTGAGTGCTATTTTCTTGTTCCTTTGTTCATATCTTCAATAAAAGCTTGGGCTGGGAAAGTGAAAGGCAGAGCTGCTCTTGATGGCTCTCTCCCCAGCCTCCCCCCATTGCAAATTCATTTAGACTCCGAGCCTTCATTAATGGCAGAGAACTTCATCGGCTGTCCTGTCTGCAGCACTCCCCATCACTCCAGAAAAACATGACCAGTGAAGTGGAGACCTACAGAAATGGATTCCATGAAATCAGTTGTGCAGGTTAGTTTGCAGGAAATGATAATTGGGCTTAAAAGAAATTCATTTCAAAATAAAATTAAAAACAAATGTGTCAATGGGGACAACTAATTGAGCAAAAGGAAATGAATAAACAAAGATAAATCCTAAAAATAAGATAAACATTCTGAGGCCTACAGCAGGGATCAAAACAGGGGAGGGAAGAGCACACGCACCGTGGTGATGGATCACGGGTGTTGTGGTGGTGGGTGAAATACAGGGACCACAACAGAGGGGAGAAATCAGATACTGTCCAAAAACGAACAATGATGTAAGAAAATAAATTATTTTAAAAAATGAATAAATAAAAATAAGAGCAAATCATTAAAGTACTATGAGAACTACGTGGGGATGTTAGTGCGCCCCATTGTGCTCTCTGTCTCTCTGTCCCCTGAGGGACAACTCTGTGGTGTCTATTCACTTACTTTCTCTGGAACCGGACCACAGGGTCAGCCAGCAGGTCAGTGACGTCAAGCTTTCTTCCCTTCTCAATGACATCTCGATGCTTGCGAACAAATAGCCACCCGATATGGGAGAAGAAGAAGCCCCGGCGGGCGTTGTGAGGATCAGCATCGGTTTCTGAGTACTTGTGGTGGACTCGGTGGTCCCTGGACCACTCAAAGATGTCATTCTGCAAAGAGAATGCAGATCCTGAGTGAAGAGACTAAGCACCCTGGTGTTTTCCTGAGAGCTTCTCGAGCTCCCCCTCCCCTAAAGCCTCACCACTCACACCAGCTTTGCTCCCTTCCTCAACCCACACACCCTCAAGCTCAGGTTTAATCCCTGCTGCTAGTTTGGAGTAGTTTTCATCAAAACAAGAGTACATTCTCACTTAGCAAGGATTTTAGCTTGCGTTTGAGATATACGCATGGCAGGAGGTCTAGGCTTATTGAGTGAACTAGTGGGGAAACTGGAAGAATGCTTTGGTGGCAGCTATTAAAGTCTCCTGGCAGATCATTCATGACAACAAAAGAGATATCCAGTTTCAGGGTCTCTTTTAATATATTTTTTAAAGATTTATTTATTTATGCCTATACAAGAACTGGGGTATAAGCCAGAGGTGTGGGGGTGAGAGGATCCACCAGGGACAAAGTGGGGAGCAGAACAGGCTGACTGACTGAAATCCACTGCTGAGAGGGGCAGTGGGGGAGACAGGAGAGGTCTGCTGCGCCATGTGGGTAGCTCCCTGGCCGGAGATCGAACTCGTGCTGCAATTGCTTCATAGGTTGCATCTTAACCCGTTGTGCCACCAGGGAGGCCCCTTTTAATATTTTAATATAATATTTTTTAAATAAAGTCTTGGTTGATGGAGGAGAGGCAACTTGAGCACGGAAGAGAGTTGGTCCTTGGCCTGGATCTCTCTGCCTGGCCTCCCCATCTTTGATGGCCTTTGCATCCTTCACATTTGGCTTTCTAGATAGCAGGAAGACAGTAAAAAGTCAAAGAGCTACAAAGTCAAATCTTTGCAGATGGCCAAAGAACAAATAATATTGTTTGAGGACTGCTCTGATAGAAAGGGAGGGGAGATGACTTTGACTCCTTGAGAAATCTGGTATATTTGGCCCTAACTACCAACTGGAGAAACAGCAATGCCTGTGGCCCAGGGCAGAACTCACTGCAATCCCAAGAGAAATCCTAAAAGAGACTCTGGTGCCCAAGGAGAAGCAGCAGAGTCTGTCAAAGTCATAGGTAGTATAGGGTTCAGGCACACAAGGGGGCACACCCTGTTGATCCTCTCAGGATGGGAAATAACAGGAGGGTATCAGGGAGCTAGAGGTCCCGGGTGAGATATCACAGGCAAAAACCAACGGCATGTAGACTGTTAATATTAATGAAACCTTGCCTATAGCCACGGACCAGTGAGATCTGTAGACTTAAAATTATAATTAATCTTAAAATCTGATTGTGCTTTCAACACTTTAAGAAGGCAAATTAGGTTGGGAAATAATGGTGTTGATAGGAAAATTAATCTGAAATTAAAAATAAATTTAAATGTCATACAAGCCTTAACAACATAGTGGTAGTAGGCCTCCCTGGTGGCACAAGGGGTTAAGATGCAACCTATCCGCAGCCACTGCAGCAGGAATTCAATCCCCAGCCAGGGAGCTACCCACATGGCACGGCAGACCTTTCCTGTCTGGGCCACTGCTCCCCTCAGCAGTGGATTTCAGTCATTCTGCCTGTTCTATTCCCCACTCTGTCTCTGGTGAATCCTCTCACCCCCTTGTGGCCTGTACCCCAGTTCTTGTATGCATAAATAAATAAATCTTTTTAAAAACACCATAATGGTAGCAATGTTTTATACCATACCATTCAGTCTAGTCATGTCCTCATTAGCATTTTAGTAATTTATAGATAATGACTTCATCCTGCTGATGAGAAGGGAAGGGATGTTTTATTCTCAAGTTCTAACTAAATTTCTTTTAATCAAAAGGGAGGGTTCATCGAGCTTTTGCTTTCTCAGGATCGCCCAATGCTGCTGGAAGGCTACACAACCCTGCTTCTCTATAGCACCACTGAAAATTTTTAAAATTTGCTTAACCCTTGGGTAATGGGACAGAAAGGGAGGTAGAAAGGCCTTAAGAAGTATATGCTCAGTTTTGAATCTAATGGGAGAAAAGGGGTGTCTAGCAGTCTCTGTAAAGCAAAAATTATAGACTGACTTCCTGTGTTAAGAGGTCTTTTCATTTTACCAATGTGTTTAAACACAGTGGTTGGAAAAAGCAAAAGCATTTATTATTTATAATCACAGGATCTGCAGTTGGGAAGGAATTTCAAATGTCATTCAAGACTACTGCAGTCCAAGGAATAATTTATTCCTTCTGCATTAATTTATTGCTCTTATTACAATGCCCTTCTGAACACAGGAAGAAAGGGCAGTACTTTGTCCCCAGTTCACAGATGGCAAAATTAAGGCTTAGAAGACTCACGTTGATCTAGTAAGTCAAAATAGTGATGCAACAAAGATAGTACACCTATTCTTAGCTCACACTTCTTACAATGAGATATATCCCTTACTCCCCAAACACAGGGGAAGAGAATCTTTTACAAAGAACTCTCATTTTCCTGGCTGTTTTGTATCTTCACTTTAATTTGTTCCTATGCAATTTTATCCATCCCAAGTGGAGACTTTCAAAGGCCTAGATTATTGGCACAAAATTAAGCATCGTACAATAACAATAAAGTGTAATGATGAAGACAAGTTGGAACAAAGATATTTATTTATTTTAATTCCTTTTACCTGAATACCTTCTGAGAGAAGCCATTTAGACTACAACAGTGGAACAAAGCCAGGGTTTTGGCTAACTTTCAAATAATGGAGCACAAAGTCGAGCCAAAAATACTGTAAGATGTATTTTTTCAATCCCTTGTTAATGTTTTGGTTTTGGTTTTAACTCCAAAGCTGAGTCCAGTGGAAAAGTGATTCTGAAAATAAGATATCAGCAAGGGAGCAAGTGCCTTTCTCTCCCTACTTCTTTGCATTTTATTTCTACCCAGGAGTTCCTGGGAGGGACCCGGGGAGAGTGGAGCCAGCCAGCCGGTGAACAGCTTTTGTATTTGCTGAAAAGCTGTGTGTACCTAGGGTGTGTTTGGTACAGTCAATATGTGCGGGAGGGAAAGCTGAGGGCTGCTGAGGAGGGAGAGCTGGCTGGGCAAGCCTGGGAGGTGGGAAGGAGGACAGCCAGCTGGGAGCAGCCGCCCCAGCACGGTGATACCCCGGTCATCTCTTCTCCTCTCAGTGTTTACACACACTGATTGCTCTTGTCAAGAACTATGTGAGCTGCTCCATCATCCTTGCTTCACAGAAATGGAAAAAAAAATGGGGGCGTAGAGACACAAGGAATGTTCAGCAAGGAGCTGACCCTCAAGTTCCCTATTTGGGTTCATGCCCTTGTGTACATATTGACAGGAGTGTGATATGGGACGCAGCAGCCATTCTTCAAGGCTAAATACTTAACACATTCTAACAAATCATTAGCAAGTCATTATATTTGCTTCTTGGAGTTTATACATAACAGTTGGTTCTGGTCGATCACAGTCCTAATACACAACCCATTACCTTCAGGAGTGGACATTCACCACATGTTCCCTGAGAAAGAACTGGACTGTGAAGGGAGCTGACCTGTGCTAAGAGCCCTGGGGATAACTAAGGCTCAGGTAGGAAGGGGGAAGGAGAGGAACAGAAGAGAGCAAGTCAGGAGTACACAGCTCAGGTGGTAGGTTTTGCTTTCTGAGGAGCCATACCATGAGCTGTTTTCTGTGGGCCAAGAGAAAGTAGAATGCAAGCCACATAGGTAATCAAAATTTTCCTTCTAGTCACATTTTAAAGGTTTAAAATTTAATTTTAATAATGTTTTAATTCACATAGCATATCTAAAATAGTATCACTTCAATATATAAATAGTATACAATTTTTTTTTTTAAAGATTTATTTATTTATTTATACAAGCACTGGGTACAGTCAGAAGTGCGGGAGGGTGAGAGAATTCACCAGAGCCAGAGCGGGGAGTAGAGCAGGCAGACTGATGAAATACACTGCTGAGGGGAGCAGCAGGCGTGGCAGGAGAGGTCTGCATGCCATGTGGGACCCTCGCCAGTGGCTGGAGATTGAACCGGCGCTGCAGAGGCTGTGGGCAGCTTCGCAGCCCAGCGCTCAACCACTGCATCACCAGGGGAGGCCCAATAGTATACAATTATTACGAGATCTTTTGTATTTTTTTTTCTTTACAAGTCTTGAAATTGGGTGAGTATTTTGCACTCCTGGCACATCTCAATTTGACTGACTTGCATTTCAAGAACTTGGGTAGCCACATGTGGCCAGTGGACTCCAGCACAGGTCAAAGTCACAGCTAGGACACTTTTGTATATATATGATAGACTTTGAAATGTTTAAAAAAATTCAAAATTGCCTAATGGTGAGAGTGCCATATTGTCACAAACTATGTGAAAGGTAAATGGGAAGCACATATCATGAGTGTTAAAATTGTGCCTATCTTTAATCTAGCAATTTATTTTCTCGAATTTATTTCAAAGAAATAATCTATTGTGAAAAGATTTAATCGGATGATCACTACAATGAAAACTGGGAAAACCCTGAATTTCCACATAACAGGATTTGACTAAGTACCTTGTTGTATGTAACTGAATACTATTCTTGAGAGTGTGTGTGTGTTTGTGTGTGTACACGTGTGCGTGCATACAAGTTTCTGTAGAGAACTATTAAGAAAAAAGTCTTAGGGCTACCTCAGGGTGGGAGATAAGGATAAATATTTTTATGATTATCTTACACTCAAATTTTTAACAAGGGCATCTATTAGTTTTGCATTAAAAACTCATAAAAATGATACTGTAACACTGACATGGATAGAGATAAGGGAAAAATAAATCCACTGCGTGAAAAGCAATTTGTAAAATAATATATACAGTATACAGTAGGAACCCAATTTTAATAAGAATGTGTATTTAAGCAAAGGAAAAGTAAAGGAAATATATAGATCAATTTGTTAATAGAGGCTATCTCTAGGAAGTGGGACTGTAGTGATTTTAAATTTTTTCTTATGGTTTGTTTGGATTTTTAAAAATTTATAGTAAACAAGTCTTTTTTGCCTAGTATAGGGGAAACAAGTTGTT